CCCCAAAACCCCAAAACCCCAAAACCCCATATATTGTCAAGAGATTGAAGCGTTGGTTTTATTCCAAGATTCATTGGTTAAGAAATTTTTCACAAATATTCCCAGTTAATTTTATTTTCTGTGAAGGAATCCGCTGTAGTTCAGCTCTGGAGGACGATTCTTCTATGTGTTTGGCTTTGTCGATATCCTCTTGAATGATAGTAATCTTTGAAGAGTCTAAGAATATCACAGTGATCTTCTCATTCGAACAATTCAAGAGATATTTCTTGTAAGAAGTTGATGAATAGAGAGTTAAAATATTTCCATCCTCTTTTAAAGAATTTTTCAAAATGATGTTTCTATATAATAACTCTAAGATCTTACAGATTCTTCTAATGGGATCATGTTACAGAACAAACTCATAACTGGCTCCAAGGTTATCATCTCAAAACTAATCTATATAATAATTTAATTAAGGTTTTCAAAGATTCTTACGCTGTTGTCTTCCTAAAATTTAATTTTTGCGAACTTACTAAAAATTTAAAGATTTTCGGGATTTTTTCTTGAGATTCTTCACCTATGTCTTTCGCTCATTTATAGAATCCATCAAATCCTTGAAGGTAGTTTTTCCTCAAATCATAATCCTCAATAAGCGATGCAAACAACCAGAACGCAGTTGCCGAGTCACAATGGTAAGCTAATGAAGCTGTGATAAAGTTCATTCCTTGCACATATCCGCACGGCTTATCGTACAATGCGAAGGCAGTCAGCACTTCCAACATGGTTGTGTAGCCTCTGCCGCCCACTCAGAAGAACTCTTCGTCAGTGACGGTTCTGCAGATGTCATTCTTGATCTGCTGCACCGATTCTTGCACTGCAGAGTCTGACTCTGCAAGTGTGAGCATATCATTGAAGATTTCTGAGTCTTTTTCAAAATCGAAAGATCGCGAATGATGTCTATAGGCGTATTCTGTCCATCTTTGAGCAGCCTCACAGTGATGCATGTTGCTTCCAATACCACAGATTCACTTAAAATTTAAGCTGGAGACTAGAGAGCATTTGTTGGAATCAAATGTTGTTGAATCTGCGCATTTATGTTGATTAAGTTTTGATAGCAAGTTTGTATTTATTACTCTTAAGTCAAGATTTTCTCTTTGATTGTCTTTACAAACTTTAACTTTGCTAGGTATTGAAGTTATATTTGTTAAGTTTTTAGACGCATTTCTTCTTTTCCTATATTGATTAATATCTGAACCATTACTGTAATGTGATGAATGCATTCCTTGATACAATTATTGGGCTTCTATGATTTCTCATTTTAATCCATTGAGATTTATCTAGCTTTTTCTCAGATACATGATGAGTGGAAAATAGAGGAATCTTCCTTAATGGGAAATCTGTTTTATCTTGTATTCATTTGGGGCTTTCTAAATTTTAATTGTGAATAACAATAAATGCCATTGGGCTATAACTTACTTATCTTTTTGACTCTCTTTCACCCTTTTGCAGCATATTCGTGGTAAACATCTCTTAATGTTTTTATTTTGTATGGTCTTACTCTTTTCTTATTGTTACCGGCTTCTGTGAACCGGTCTGTCATTCGTATGAGAGCATGAATGTCTTTTTGATAAATACTTTCAGTCAAGGTTGCTGCGATCTTCTCATTCTCCGCTCTTGATTTCTTTACAAATTTTACAACAGAGAGATTGCATGATTGGTTTAATGGAATAACTTCTTTGTAAGTTCTTAAATTAGTAGTACAAGCATCTGGATTACTTCTTTGAGGACTCAATTTATGTAAAGACATTTTAATATTGGTTTGTTCCTCAATTTTGGGGCTTTGGTGCTCTGACTCACCTTTAAAATATCTTTTAGAATCTGTTTCTTTGACTTTCTTCTTTCTTTTTATTTCTTTTTGCTTGATATACCCACTTAGTCTCTTTTTACGAGGAACCCCTGGGTAAAAGTCTTCATGGTTGAAAGGGTTAAATTTTATAGGAGTATTGGTACATGAACCCTTATATTCATGTAGAGAGCTTCAGTAAGTTTCTGTGGTTTGAGTATTTAGCCTTCTGAAAGTAAGATTTACTTTTGCAGCCTCAGTTTTATCTATATTTTTATTTGTATCAATTTCAGATCATCTCTAACAGAAATTATATTCAAGATCTTTTCCTCTTAAAGAAAATTTACAACGATAAAACAACTTGAATAATCTTAAAAATATATTCCTTACAAGGTGATTGCTTCACACATCCTAACTCAGGAGTGCTACAGGTTCCATACATCTTGATTCTAATTATTATCAATCTCACTTCCCAAGTTTGGGGTTTTGGGGTTTTGGGGTTTTGGGGTTTTGGGGTTTTGGGGTTTTGGGGTTTTGGGG